GGACTTATTTTTCTAGGGCTGTTGTAACAAATTGCCACAAACCGTGGGGCTTACCACAATGGAATTTCTTCTCCCAGTTCTGTAAGGAAGCCAAAGTCCAACATCAAGGTGTCGGCAGGGTTGGTTCCTACGGGGGGCTGTGAGGGGGACCTGTTCCATGCTCTGTCGGAGCCTCTGGTGGCTGCCAGCACCCCCTGCCACCCCTTGGCTCGTAGACTAGTCTCTCCAGGCTCTGCTCCTGTCTTCACATGGTGTCTTCCCTGAGTGCCTCTGTGCCCAAATTCTCTACTTCTTGTAAGGACCCCAGTCATTGGACAGAGCACACCCTAATCCAGTATAACTTCATTTAACCTGATGACATCTGCAAAGACCCTATTTCCAAAATAGGGTCAGATTCACACGTTCCAAGTGGACAGGAATTTGGGGGGCAGAGGGGTGGGAGGGACACTGTTCAACCCAGCATATCATCTAAAGTTGGTCAGTCAAAACAATATAGATTTAGCTATGTAATTTATATGTAAAAATGGTATATTTTATACAGCATGTAATTGTCTATGATAAACAATACATGTGATATGTATTATATATGGTATCTATTTACTAGAAGGCACTAAAAACACAGTACCAAAGAAGGGAGGAAAGAAGGGACAAGGACAAACAATACAATAACAAAAAATGTTTTTAAAGAAAGGAAGCATTAAAAAGATAGGTGTAGTGTGAACTTATTTGTGTCTCAGAAAGATAGAGAAGATAGATACGTGATAGAAGATAGATAGATAGATAGATGATAGACGATAGATAGATAGATCCCCTATACATAGAAAACATCTCAAAGGATACCCAAGGAACTTAACTGTTATCTCCCTGGAGGGTGGCATTCCTTCATGAGCACCTACTAAATGGCAGGCACAGAGAGCTACCCAGTGAGTAAGACCAAAGCACGTTGCTGTCCTCAAGGACCCTCCCTGTCCTGGAAGAAGCCAGACAATGAATACTTTTTAGAATAAACAAGCTATTTGAATATGTGATAAGTACTTGAAGGAAAGAGGACATAAAATGTTGACCAGTGGACGAGGACAGCTGCTTTGAATAGAGTGGCAGGCAAGGACTGTTTTGAAGGGGGGCATTTACTTGGATATACACAGAGGAGGAACTAGTTCTCAAGGGGCAGAGCATGGGCAAAGGTTCCGAGGTGGGAGCCAGATTGGCGTGCTCAGAGAACAGAGTGGCAGGAGTTCAGTGACCCAGGGCCCCAGGGCCACCTTCATTGGCACAGCAGGCACAGGGCCCATGAGAATTTAGGGCCCTCAAAAATGTTTTTGTAGGGCCGGCCAAGTAGCGCATTGGTTAAGAGCTGGCTTGGGACGCCAGAGGGCCCCGGTTCGGATCCCACATATGAGGGCCAGTGACACTGTCCTCCACAGCTAAGATGCTGAACAACAGCTCAACCTGGAGCTGGGCTGCCGTGAGTCGCTGGCGACGGTGTAGGCTGCAGCCCCTGCTGCAGTGGGATGCCATGGGCTACCGTATGTAGCCAGCAGCCAGCATGAGTGGCCAGCAGCCATCGTGAGGGGCCATCCAGAAGCTGGCGACTGATCTGCCTCGCCCGGGAAGAGCGCAATGATGGTGCCAACTTGGGCCAGTGAAGCAACGTCCTCCACAACTAGACTGAAGAACAAAAAGGACAGCAACTTGTCTGTTCCCCTTCCCCCAATTCCCCAGCACTGTTCCCATCCCCCAATTCCCCAATAAAAATCTTTTAAAAAAAAGAAATGTTTTTGTTTCTTTGAAAATCAGAAAGAAACAAAATTTGAGGGTCAAAAGTTATGTTTGTCTTTATATCAATACAGTTGTAAAATATCATTTTAATGCCTTTTTATGGAGGAAAGGCCCCATGAGAGAAAATGTGGCCCTGCTCAGCCACGTCAGCACGCCAGTGATATTTGCTGCATAAATTAATGAAGGGGAGTCAAGCACGCAGGCCCAGATCATGGCTTTGTGGGTCTGGGGTTTGGCTTATATTCTAAATCCAATGGAAGTCACAGGAGTAGTTAAAAGGGGAGGTGGCACGACTGACATTAGGAGAGAAAGGAAAGAGAATGTGACTTCTTCAGCCCCTTTGATCCCTGATTATTTCTTAACAACATATATTTAGAATAAAACTTTCAGTTTGCAGAAATATTTTTCAGAAGGTTACCAATAACAGAACTTTCCAGTTATTCCTGAACTAACCAGGACCTCTCTTTCTCAAATGTCAAGTAATTGTTGTTGTCTGTACTGTTAACCTAAAAAATAAGAGGCTACCGTGGGAGGCATAAAGCATTTATTTGAGATCCAAAGAGAATAGCTAGTCAGGAAGCACTGATTCTGGCAGAAACCCAAACAGTGCTCTGATTAGAGAGTGAAGACAAAAAGGTTTTACGAGAAAGGGGAGGGGAATAACTACACGAATAGAAAGATGGAATGTCTACGGGTGTGAAGTCAAGGAAGGAATTTCTACAGGTGCAAATAAGCGAAGTTATTCTTTAGCAATGCATGGTGATGGTAATTCTAAAGAATGTGTTTTATAATATTTCCGTGTATGGCCCTGCTAGCAAGGCCTTACTAAAGGGGAGCTTTTAGAATCAGCATTCACTGACTGCCCTTACTCTAAGTTGCTCTTAGTGTTTAAGAAATTTCTGTTGTCTTGCAGTTTCTATCTAACTGTGTCGTCGGGGCTTCCCTTGAAGAGATTACAGAAGAAGAGGAAGAGGAAGATGACAGCAAGTCAGCTATGCTGGATGCCTTCTCCTCCAAAACGAAGGAAGGCACGTTCCAGATCGTGGGCACGCTTTCCACACTCGAAACACCCGGGCCCGACTTTGCCGTGGAGACATACTGTGTAAGTCTCGGGGGCTTCTACTGAGAGTAAACCGAGCGTCACCTTCCGCTCCGACACCCTTACAATATTATATATTGTTCCTCTTTGCTTCTCATGTCCTCTCTTCTGGGGTAAGGTGAAGGACAAGGTCAGGGCAGGACTTTGTCCTGTAAAGGAAATTAACAACCAGTGTCTCCACTTTTAAGGTTTGCCTGAAGCAAAGAATTGAAATTAGATATTCTTAGAAAGTATGAATCTCATTGAGATTTCCAGGCTTGCAAAATTCTCTCTATACACTGAATTCTATATATTTAACATCCTCTGTATAGTCTCTCTCTCTATATATAAAATGTATTCTGCCCTGCATTACCCCAACACAAACCTTGGCCGTGATGGGCACTAACTGTGAAAGAGAAATCTCCTTTGGTAAGAAGCCACTCAGGAGTGACATACCATCAGAGTGCTGTCTTATTGAGAAAGAGGGCTGCCTCCACATGGCAAATTCTACACAATCCTCATCCTGAGACATTTAAAAACGTCCAAGAGGAGCGTCCCTCCCAGGCTAACTCCTCCCATCACCCCACCTGATGCTCTCTAGACCCTACCACAGCACTGCTCATGCTGTATCTTGGAAGAGCCTTTCCTCTTTCCTTCCCCATCCAGCCCTATTCGTCTTTCAAGATTTAACTCAGGATGTCATCTCCTCCAGGAAGCCCTCCAGTATTCCCACTTCTCCCCCACTCCCTCTTTTCTTATCCAACCATAGCACAATTTACCTGCACAGATCACAATGCTTTTCACACCCCATTGTTATTATCTGTCTATTGTGGGTCTCACTGACTGTATCAGCAACTCGAGGATGGAGACTGTGCCTCACTTATTCTCCTGTTTATCCATACAACTTCAGCACCTAGTACAGTGACTAGCAGAAAGTGGCCCTTAATAAATATTTGCGAAATGAATGAATGAGTCCGCTCCTGCCATCTTTGGGAACCATCTTCACCACTTTCCCTTTTCACAATCTTCTGGGTCTTCGCGCACCACTAGCTTCTTTCTTTCCATCTGTACATATGCTCAAATCTTTCCCACGCTAAAACAAAACAAAACAAGACTTAAGTGGGCCTGATGGCTACCCGCCTCTTTCTCTGCCCCTGGCCCCTGCCACCACTGAACTTCAGGGAACGCCCAGCCTCATTGGCTGACCTCACCCCTGCACTACCCAGTCCCTGGTCTGTCCAGTGCCGGCAGGCTGTGTCCCCCCCACTTCACAGGAAGTGCCCTGGCCAGTGTCACCGTGAGCCCCTAATTCCCAAGGGCCCGTCTTAGCTGGCTTCCCCGGAGAAACGCCCTCTTTCTGCGGACGTTACACCCTGGCTCCCCTTACACATCCAAGAGCGCCTTCTTGGGTTCTTTCAATGGCTCTTTTTCCTCGTTCCACCCTTTAAAAGCAGTTGTCCCCAGAGTTGCCTCCTTTCTCATACGAGGTGTTTTCTTTAACCTTACCCAGTCCTATGACTTCAGCTTCCCCATACCGGCCAATGCCTTTCAAGTCAGCCTCCAGCTCTGTTGACACGAAAATTCAAATGCGTCCTAGTCCGCTCCTCCAGATGTGCTGCAGATGCTTCTAAATACCCCAAATTAATTTTTTTGGTTCTCCTCTACAAATCCACTGTGCCTTTTGTACTCATGATCTTTATTAAAGACCTTGCTGTCTGTATCAGGTTGAGCTGTTTGGGGCTGCAAGAAATAGAAAAAAAAAAGGCAACGCAACCTGGCTTTCTAAATAAGGAAATCCCTCAGCTTACGTGGCTGGTGGTCTCAAGGAAGCACCAGCTTCAGGGAGCCATGATCCAGGGGCTGCAGCTCCTTCTCCCGCCCCTTCCTGGCCTCTGCCTTCCTCTGGGGGTGACTTCATCCTCAGGCTGTCAGCAAGGCTGCGGCAGTCCAGGGCCTTGGAGTCATACCCTGCAGCACCTGAGGAAGAGAGCTTTCAGAAGGTCTCAGAGAAAGGAGGATGAACCTTCCAGCAGCCCTCCACAAACATCTCCTTGAATCCCGCTGTCTTGAACTGAGTCACGTGCCCATTCCTGAACCAATCACTTACCCTTAGATCAATAAGGCCCCTCTCTTAAGCTAGAGGGTGGAACTAGTTTCCCATAGGCTGAGAAAGGGAATATCTGAACAAAACTGGGGTTCTGCTGGAAAAGAGAAAGAGCAAATGGGTGTTGGTAGACAACCAACAGTGTACTTTGCACCATTCATCACACACCCTCCCCATAGCGGAAAGCCTGGTGTCACTGTGGACGCCTGGCCCCCGCTGCCTCCTCTACCACCCCCTTGGTCATGGGATCTTCACCCACCTCCTTAACAGCTCTCTGAGGGTCTCCTCCTTTCCATTCTCAGAGCCATGTGCGTTAGTTCTGGTCTCCATCGTCTCTCACCATTCACACCTGAATCTGAAGCTGTGAATGTGTACGGAGCGTCACACGGAGCTCACAGCCTCGCAGGGATTCTGTGATATAGACGGCTAGCTCCACAGCAGTGCAGTGAACGTGATGACAGAGATGTGCACCCAGCAGCACCCAGAGCACGCTGAACAGGGCAGCTGCTGAGTCTCGGTCTTCTCTATAGAGCCAGGCAAACGGAGCTGCAAAGCCCTCCCCCCAACACTGCTCGAGGCCCCCAAGCTCCTCTGGTCTGGACATCCTTGAGCCTCCCGTGCAGAGAGTCCTGCAGGTGACCCTCCTTGGGGAGGTTGGGGTCTACTGGAGAAGCTGGGACAGAGGCTGGGACTCTAGGGCTGAGTAGAGATCGCCAGGCAGGGAAGGGAGCAAGAAAAGGCCACTCAAGGGAGAAACACACGGGAAAGCGTATGGAGTGCTTTGAAATAGAGGCGTCAGTACAGCTAGAGCCAAGGGGAAGATGCAAGGGTGGGCGAAGGTGAGACAGTGGAGGATGGAAAACATCGGGCTGGCCCAGGATGGGAAAGCTGCCTCTGCCTGGCTCAGCAAACCTCCCGCTATTCCCTGAGCACTCCAGGCTCTGCTGAGTGAGCTCGTATTCACCCTTCCAACCCAGCTCAAATGTCAACTCCTAAAAGCTACAATCACGTACTCCTCCAGGTCTATCGAATCTCAAATGTGCCTCTATGGTAGCGCTTTCCACATTGGAGGCTGCCATGTAAGGCTGGACAGGTTGTACACTGCACAGGATGCCCAGCTAAGGGCGTGAGTCGGGGCTGCAAAGCAACCCATCCTGGCTATTGTGTGCCCCAGGGTGAATGCCTTATAAATTTTCCACCAAGGGCAAGTCACCTTTTTCTAATTTGTGCAAAGGCTTCATATATGCTTAGTCGTATCCTTGTCTATATTAGACTATAATTGTTTGCTAAATGTTTTTCCAACAACAACAACAACACAGACACACACAGACACACACACACACATGCACACACTGCTCCTTAGTATCAGCAACCATATATTATTCATGTTTGCCTCTATCTTTGGGGTCAAAACAAGGCCCAAAAACATTTGTTGGGTGAACAGATTAATGCACGAACATGATCTCTGAACATCTGGTCAGGACAACTGTTCTCGTGAAAAGGTGCCTGTTTCATCCTAAATCAACCCAGCTATGATTTGACAAGTGCGTGCACTTTTTCTGTGGACCCCGCTCTCACAGCCTGGAACCATAGATGCCTTATCTTCTTTCCCTTGAACCGCATCTGGAACACATGTCTTCAATTTCTCCAATGTTGTTTCTTCCTTTCTGACACGTGTCAGTCCTGAATTGAAATCAGTCCCAGGAGGTCATTAGCGTGGCCCCTAATCCAATATGACTAGTGTTCCAATAAAAAGGGGAAATTTGGACCCAGACATCACACAGGGAGAATGTCACGTGAAGAGGAAGGCAGAGATCTTGTGTGCAGCCTCAACAAGCCAAGAAATGCCAAAAATTGCCAGTGAGTCACCAGAAGCTAGAAGAACATGGGGCACACCCTCCCTCGCAGCCTCAGAAGGAACCCACCCTGCCCACACCTTGATCTTGGACTTTCAGGCCCCGGAACTGTGAGACATAAATTTCTATTGTTCAAGCCACTCAGTTTGCGGTATTTGGGTACAGCAGTGCTAGGAAATGAATACAACTGTATGCAAAAGGACTTAGAGGATGAGCCGGAGAAATTAGCAGCCCATGGCACTGTTGAATTTGACCTGGACCCATTAACCTCACCAAGGAAGCTCTCTAGGATTAGAAAAGGCATCCACTTTTCTTTTGTTCTCCAACCAACTATGCTAAGAGACCAGGTGTGATCTGCAATGGTCTTTTAATGCAACTAACTGGTCAAGGATCAGCGGGGGCTATCTGACCCTAAGGACAAGTGCAGATGCTAGTTTGGAAATGCAGAGTCCTTGTATGGGTCTCTTAATACCCACCCGCAGAATTGCACCACTGGGAAATGTGCTGATATCCACGCAGCGAGGAAGAACTAGTGAAAACACAATGATCACCACAGTTACTCTTGTCTAATGTGAGAACTTTATATTTTTAACCATTAAAAGTTTCTGTATTTTTTAAATAGTCCCAACTGTCAACTGTAATAACATACCTTCCATCTAGAAAGAGAACAGATTAATTGCATCTTGAGGATTCTGAAACAATTGACATAAATCACTTATCAGCATTTCTGAGTGATTCATGATACATAATTGCTCAAATAATCTTGCATAGAGGGTGAGTTAGTTTTAAATGCCTCCCACATTTGCTTCCAGCATGTTCTAATTCTTCCCTTCTGAATTGGGGTGTAAACAGCATGCAGAAACAGCACCTAAGATCATTACGCAATTTTTAATCATCTGTTCCTGGTGATGTTCATAAACTCCTTTGTTGTTTGAAAACTACACACAGAAGAGAGCCAAAATTTCATTTGAAATGGAAATTCTCCTGCAAATTTTTTCTGTGGGACTCTTCAGTGTGGCGTATCTAATTTGGAAGTTGTCATTCTGTCTAAATATTAAGCTTACTTTGTTACCTTCCTGAACAAATGACTGAACAATTCTCTTTTTCAGACCATCTCTCGAGAAGACCTTCTCATGCGCCTGCTGGAGTGTGATGTTATTATTTATAACATCTCTGAGAACCCACAGCAAGTGGAGGAAGCCATCTGGGCAGTGTCTGGTCAGTGAGATGCACCCTTTTATCTCTGGGGACATCATTTTTGTATAATTTACTTTACCTGAGAGTCAGTTAATGAACACTAGGCAAATTAGGACCGTGGAAAAAGTGATGTGAGATTTACCTAAAACATGAAATCAGGCTAATGTCTATGCCTGCGACTAGTGTTAAAAGATAAACTGAGGCGTATTAAAATTTTTTAGAGTTTATTTGAGCAAAAATCAATTCAAGTTGGACAGCTCCAAACTGGTTAGGAGTACTCCATCAACAGGAGCGAGGGGAAAGGCTTTTGTAGAGAGAAGCCAGAAGCAAAGCAAATAAATTATTTGCTTGGATGTAGCTTAAGCGTTGACCTTATTTGGAAGTCTAGCTGGCTGTTTGTGATTGCTTTTCCTTAGGTTTTGCTTTTCTTAACCTTGAGACATTCACAGGCCTAAGTTTTTATTTGTTGACATAGGCTGTGAAGGCATTAGAGCCACCTGAGCCTACTGACCTCTTTGTTTAATTAATTTAACAATAAGTGCTTCTGAGGCGTAGAATATGTTTAATCGTTAAAAGAAATAAAATATTAACTTCCAAAATCCGACCTTTACTCCTTCTGCAGGCACTGCTTAAGGAGGTGAGTTGAGTGTATTGGGAAGAAGATACAAAGATCAATAAGAAAAGGGTCATACCCTCCCAGCACTTGGAGGCCCACAGAGAGCTAAGGGGCACACAAGAAACTTTACTGCAGGGTAGAGAATGCCATGGTCACAAGAAAGGCATCACAGGAGGGGTGTGACTTTAAAAGGAGAGGCGCTATTTCTAACTGGAAGGATTTGATCCGATTCAACAAATGTTCCCTGAAAGCAAGGGTCAGGGAAGGTTTGCGAGAATGCTTAGTTCTAAAATGCTTTGAAAACTGTGATGTACTCTAAGGAGCTCAGGTTTCCGAGAACAAGGTGATGGTTCGCAATTTGGTGCTTTTGATTCGTCTTTGTGGCTCATTAAGATAGGAGCCCAGGAGAAGGCAGATGAGCTCATTTGAACCATTATTCTGGACGAGGGAGACAGCAAAGAAAGACACAGAGCGCCTTACCCTGCAATATTTTTTACACTTCAATATCTTTGTTTCAGGAAGGCTAGATCAGGGTCCGCAAAACTTTTTCTGTAAAGGGCCAGAATAGCAAATGTTTTTGGCTCTTTGAGCTGACTACTCTTCCAGTGTAGTGAGAACATAGCCATAGAGGATGCGTAAGGGAATAGTCTGGTTCCAATAAAGCTTTATTTAAAAGTCAGGTACAAGGGCCGGCCGAGTGGCTTAGTTGGTTAAGAGCTTGCTCAAGAGTGTGAGCTCTGAGGAACAGGGTCGCCGGTTCGATTCCTGGCCCAAGCTGAGCTGCTGCTGAGCTGCCAACAGGTGGCAGGATGGCTCAGCTAAAACAAACAAAGAATCAAACAAAAAAAGTCAGGCAGCACTTTGTCAGTTCCTGAATAAGATCACCAGCAACGCCGTATTTGGGCTTCAATCCAGAGAAATTGAAAGGAGCCTCAGGAATGATGTACTGTATTCAGGGAAATTGTGATGGAAAAGTACTGTCGGCAGGTGTGTGGGACCCCTCAGGAGCTTAGAATGGTCAATGTCTCACTTCTAACTTTGGGCCTAAGTTTCATTCAATAAGATACAAATCAGAAGCATGAACATTGTGTCATCTTCCAGAACAGAGCTTTTTGAAAGCCTGCTTTGTGCTTTTTGTCCCTTTGCAAGTATTTATAGATGATGTATAACTGCACCTTCTAAAATAATTACACCACCTAAAATAGTAATCAGAGCTAACATTTATTGAGTTCTTACTTCATGCCAGGCTTTGGAAATTGATTTTTCTATCTAACGTGTGCTTGCAATTTTCTTTACATTTTTAATACTTTTTCTGAAATAAAACCTGGGCATATTTTGAACATCAAAAAGCACAGTAGGGCTTAGAAGAAAAACCAGAAATTACCTGCTTTTCCTTTGCATCCCATCCCTACACCCCTAAAGGAACCTCATTCAACCCACTTGTTCCTTTTAATACATAAAAACCCGTGCACCTGTTGTTCTATGATTGTGAATTTTAGACATTAACCATTGACTTCCTGTCAGGACAGTTGAGCTTCAGCCACTCATAGGACCCGCCCCTGCCTCGTGACCCTCAAGGGAATGTTGGTACTGCATTACCTTTCACGAGCTTTAAAACGTAGGGTATATTTTACTGCTTCCTTCTCTGTTCTAATGAAAAAAGAGCTCTATATAATTGAGAAAATTTTACCTTTCTATTTGGTGGAAAGGCTTAACTGTATTACCTCATCTTTGAGCTAAAGAATATGTCTGCAAGAAAAGTGTAATCAGAGGCCCTTGGTCTGCCCTCAGGGCCATGTGGGGGTCATGGGGTTGGTGGGGCTGTGCAGAACAGGGGTGGCAATTTTGTCATTTTTACCTGACGCACATGCTTAGATTTCGATGTTTTGTTTTGGTTTGGTTATGCAGTGGATATGTATTACTTCTTAATAATGTTTGATTACGTTATTTTTAAATGTTTTAATATAAAAGAGTTCTCCTACTTTGCCTTGCCCAGATTCTATCAAGAAAGCAAAATAACATAGTAGAAAGGAAGAAAGTATTAGAAATGAGAGAAAACATTTGCGTATACGGATAAAATGTGCTTGTTCATAAGTGAACAAGTACATCATTTTAGACCCATTAAAATGATCATAAATAGAAAAGGATAACCCAGATAGAGGACCTCTAAAGGTGCCAACATTCGCAAAATAGGCCAATCCGAAACACCGCGGAGCAGAAAGGGCAAAAGAGCAAAATTAAGTTGAAGAGGCAATTTTTGTTAATAGAATAAGAATAGAAACTAAAATTAACATTTATGTTGGGATCAGTGTGTAGGCATAATACTCTTAGACTTAATTCAATAATACTTTCTCATTTTCTGGTCAGAATCCATACGTTTATGAAATTCAGGATATCAGCATTTTATTGTTTTGCTGGTTGTTTAAGGAACCAGCTCATGAGATTAAAAATATCCATGACAAATGTGTCACTCAGATCCCCTGATAATTTAATTAGACCTCACTTTAGACTTTTTTTCTGGAAAACTCTACGTCGTGAAAAATATTTTAGTAGAATCACATGCCGAAAGTATTCAGGGAGATTCAGTGTGTGGAGAGCCCTCCTGGAAAGTGAGAAACTGTTTGGAAATCAAACACTCGCCCTTCCACCCACCACTGTTCTAAACTCCGATCCCTCCACGTTGTTCATAATCCTTGTTTATAATGGAGCTTTCCAGCCTTCCCAAGACCCTCCACACAGCGCCCCCAGCCAGGGGAGTGGGGAGGGTGGGCGCACCCAAAGTTACTTCCCCCCACAATGGCTTAGGCTACGTAGGACTGCTGTATGTGAGATCGTCAGAGAGCCTTACCTTCTGATTTGGGGCCCCACAGCCCCCACCCCCAACCTTGACGGGGCCTCCTGCTCCATCTCTGTGCAGCTGGTCCTACAGCATGGTGGGGAGAGCACAGGCCTTGCACCAGGCTGCCTGGACTTCACTCTCGGCCCCACCACTTCCTTCCACGGTTCTGGACAAACTGTGCCTCGGTTCCCTTATCGGTAAAACAGAGGTCACAGTAGTACCTATCTCATAACGGTAGGAAATCCACAAAGCCCATGAATCGTGCTGATCCATGTCCGCTATGATTAACACTAACACCAGCCCTCCCAAAAAGTGAAAGCAGGCCAAGAAACAGGAAGAAGGGGGCTCAAGTTTTGGGCTGGGCTCCGAAGGGGTCAGGCGTCTGGAAGGAGAAAGCCAAGAGCAATGCTGGGGACACCAGGGGCGATATCACCCTGGTGTTCAGTGGCTCCAGGAAAAAGGAGTAACTTCAAGTCCTGCCAACAGCACACGTGATTTTGAAGACACGTTCTGCCTGGATCCAAATAACCGTTTGCTTTTTGGCCCTACAGCACTGAATGAAGAAGTCAGCCATTTTGAAAAACGGAAGGTGTTTATTTTAGTTTCCACAGTGATGACCTGGGCAAGATCGAAACCCCTGGACCTTGTAAGTACACTACCTTGTCCTTTGTGCAATATTCACCCTCAGTAATCTGCGTGCACAGAGAACTTTCTACAGTGAATTGGGTATTCCTATACCCCTAAACCCTCTCCCATGATAAGCACTCAACAGAATTCATTGACTCCAAGCTCACTCATTTCTAAGGGGCCCCATTGTTTTATATGCTGCCTATTAAACTATACCAATGCTTGCTTCTCACTTAATACATTTTGTTTTAAATTGGAAGAGCTCTCTTTTAGACTTATGTAGACCTATATTCTTGTCATATACGTTCTTGTGCACACATTCAAAGGAAAATAGAAGCAAAATAAGTAGTTATAGATCCCCAAAACTTCTCCGTAGTCAGAGTCCAGCTTCTCTGAATCTCACCTACATTCTGTCTGTTCCCACTCAATAACTCAGTGTGAAACCTGAGTCATGTCATTTATTTGTAGGTACTTTCCTTTCCTATAAAGCATGTGGTTATTACTTTACGAGAAGACGTGGACCTAGAGTCTTTCTCTCTTCCAGTGTTGCTTTTTCTCTTTACTAACCTCAGATTGGTATTTGCTGCTCTGCTCCATCACCTTTGCACCTGTGAACTACCTTTCACTTCAGTGCTGAATCACAGTATAGGCTGTTCAAAGACATTTAAAAAGGCACTTAGATCAACACATGTGGCACCTGACTCATTTGGAAGGGATGACAGTATGAACAGTCACGCTCAAGGTCACCCAGGCACCAGCAAGGACAGCCTCAATGCCTCCTCACTGACTATGATGATAACAAGCCATTAATTACGAGACATTTAGCTTCAGAGATGTTAAAATGATGTACACACACATGTTAGAATCAATAGAATACATGATTTATAACAAGGAACTATTTAGGGTTTTATCACACTTACTGCATCAGATGACATTTGTTTATTTGATTCTCCTTCCGTTGATGGGCCAGGAAAGCCTTGAGAGCAGGGACCAAGTTTCATGTTCTTTCCTGGTAAAGTTCACTCACCTACGCCATTTGGATGCCATCACCTCAAGGAGAAAGGCCTGTCATGTTATTCCTCTTAGGTTTCCTTCCATCAGAGTGTCTAGTACAGTGTCTGCTACATAACAATCGTTGGTCACTTGACTGGCTGACCATTTAGCTGGCCTGGTTGATTGTCCCCACTCCTTCACTTATAAGCTCACTTGCACGGACTTAAGCAGAGGGGAGCTTACTGGCTCACGTAATTTGTAAGTCAGGTGATGGACTTCAGGCACAGCTGGATCTAGAGGCTTAAACAGTGTCCTCAGAGCTCAGCGACTTTCTTTCCCTCTTCTATTGCTTCTTTTCTCCTCTGAGTAGGCTTCGATCTCAGAGATTCTCTCCCCTCCTTCGGGCCCCCATCAGCTCCCAGGCTTACCTCCCTAGAGCGTCATTCCTCTTTTCCATTTTGGCCACGTCCCATCCCAGGGCTGGAGTATGCTGTGAGTCCAGGTCTCAGGTCATGGGCCTAACCTTGAACCAGCCACTGTGGCCAGGGGAATGCCGAGCTCTAACTGGCCAGACCTGGGATCACAGACCCACTTGCAGAGGCAGGGAAGGTCAGCCCCCCAAACTGGATTGGCTGAGAGAGAAGAAGAGATGGTTCCCCAAGAAAATATGGGGAAATGGCTCCGGTGTTAGCTCCGGTGTCCTTCTGGCATGTCCCCATCCTCTCACTGTGATTTTAACTTGAATTTCCCTAACAGCCCATGAAGATTTTAAGTCAGATTTATGAAGCTATGTTTTACATACAGGAAGATGAGGAGCCCTTTATACTGTACAGTTCTATGAGTTTTGACAAATGCATACAATTGTATAACCACCACAACACTCAATATAGAGAATACTTCCATCATCCCTTAAAATTCCCTGCCTCACACCACACAAAAAGTCAGTTCCAGAAGGTTCCTGTAATTAAAAGTAAAAAAGCCAAACTTCAATTTTTAAGAAAAATTATAGAATTTATAGGGAAGGGTTTCTTTAGAAGACTCAATAATGCTAAATATTTCTTAAAAGATTGATAAATTCAACTGCAATAAACTTAATGAAGTATTTATGGATGAAATGATACTATAGCTGAGATTTGTTTGTAAATGATCCATGGAGGTGAAGAAGTAGTTGGTAGTATGAGGGAAACAAGATATGCTCTGTAGAAACCTGCATCAAATCATGTGGAAACCCCACATAAATGCACATTGAAGGACAGTCCATTAAATAACTGGCCTATATTCTTTAAAAAATATATAAAGGCAATAAAATAACTGGCCTATATTCTTTAAAAAAAAATAAAGGCAATAAAAGACAAAGCTGAAACACTGTTCCAGAGAAAGAAGACTACAGAGACATGGCAGTTCAGTGCGTACACAATCCTGGACTGGACCCTATGCTGGAGCAAAAAATGCTATAAAGGACATTATTGGGACAACTGACAAAATTGGAGCATGGACTGTAGATTGGATCAAATTATGGTATCATATTAAATTTCCTGAGTTTCATAACTGTACTGTATGTATGTCGGAGAATGTCCTTAGGAAATACACACTGGAAATTAAAGAGAAAAGGGGCGTGATATATGCAACCTACTCTCAAATGGTTCAGGAAAAAAAAATATGTGTACTGCTGGGGAAATATAATTAAAAAGAAATCTTCACCCAACCCAGAAAAATCTCTCCACAAGGTAGTGAAGAAAGTAAACAGCTTCATTATTAATAAGCATTAAACTGGAAGGTCATGCACATCACAAGCAATAATCCAGTAAGGGATGGCAAGGATAGAAGGAAGTCCCACCCTTTTTATCACCAAGCGGACACAACCCATTGTGTACATGTTTAAATGATGCACAATGACTAGTTCCAAGTAAGAGGACTTGATAGTGCCATTTGTCACACACAGTTTGACCTAGAGTCACCTCGTAATTCAAATGATCATTGGTGTTAGCTAATTGGCTTTATCCAGAAGAAACACTGAGAGTGGAGCAAATCCCAGAGGAGAAAGCAGGAAGGTCCTTTGGGCAGGCTGGCCTCCCTGTCAGGTTAGCCAGGCCTATGGCAATGCCCGGATGCAATTCACCCCAAAGGCAATGCGATTACACCTGTCCCCAGACCCTGTGTGAATAGGATTCCCGGATTTAGCGAATAAAAATACAGGACACCCAGTTAAATTTGAATTTCAGAAAAACAGCAAGGAATTTTTGGCATAAGTACATCCCATGCGATATGTAAGACTTCCTTATACTATCTAATTATTTGTTTATCTGAAATTCAAATTTAGCAGGGTGTCCCACATTTTATCCGGCAACCGTACATGCGAGCCACTGGCACATTTAAAGGTCACCCACTTAGGTAACATGTATCCATTGAGTTGTGTGTTGTGGACCCAGAACTGACGTGGGTTAACTTGATCTTCCCCTAAAGAACCAATTCTCCCCCAGTTTTCTCCCAGTGGCGTCACTGTCATTTCAGTTGCTCAACCTCACTCTTTCCCATCCACCAGCGAGCCCATCAGTAAATTCTGTTACTTCATCATCCAAAACGTATCATGAGTCCATCTTGTTCTCTTTGTATCAATGGACTACTAAAATGCCCTCGTCTCCTTCCACTCCGTCTCCAAGGAACAGCCTAAGTCACCTTGTTCAGGTAGAATTCAGATCATGTTACAGTCCTGCTTAAAATGCTGAACACCCTTCGACGCCTCCTGACACTCTGAGGATAGACCTAAACTCCACCACGGGCCCTGACAACCTGCGTATCCCCCACCTCATCCCCGAGCAGCACCCCGCTTGGCTCCAGTCGTTTGGACTCTTCTTCCCGTTTCTCAAACCTGCCAACGTCGCGCTACCTCAGGGGCCTCATCCCTGTGTTTTTTTCTGCCTCTCCAATTAATTTCCTGTAAGCCTTGGACTCACATGCTCTGGATGGGTTATTACTTAGAACAATGTGATGTGATTGAACGGCTCCTTATTGAACACTATATTTTTAAAACTCCTGCTCCAAGTAGGACTGCTACATCTGGATGGAGCCAGGGAAAATCGCCCTGTATCATGGAACTCAATTTCTCCCTTTGATTCTCCAGTAAGATTTAATTGAGTTGTTTCGGATATTCCCTCCAGGGGACAGCACAGTAGGGTGAGTTGCAGTCAGACTAAGTGTGCACTCTTGGGAAATATTTTTCATCTCTGATTTTCAGGGTAAACTGATATTTCTTCTTACCTGATGAAACCAGTTTTTAAAGCCCAAGACAGAAATTTGCATGTGGGATGTTCTCATTAACATGGGATTGATTTGAGGGGGAAAAAAGTGTGGAAAAGAGAAAAAAAACACAATTTAGATTAAGAAACGAAACTACATACATTTCAGGGACAATTAAGAAGTGGGCTATTTAATGGCTTTATGGAATCGCACTGACAACCTGGTACCGTCTCTTCAAAATAAGATAATTAGATTTTTAATTTTGTTTCGATTAAAGTTAAATGACAAAATTTGGCTAGCTAAAACATTTCCAGGAAAATTAAATCACCGTTTAAAAAGCAGTCATTTTTAAAAGCACGCTTTATTTGAGCTTAAAGGAACATAGCCGACCTACCACCTGTGGGCTAGAAGTTTTACGTAGCCCTAACAACATCAAGTTTGGCCTTTATTTTTCTTTCATAGGATGATTCTGACATTCCATTTACTGAAGAGGATTATCGAAGAAGAAAGAACCATCCTAATTTCCTGGACCACATAAATGCCGAAAAAATGGTTCTCAAATTTGGAAAAAATGTAAGTCTGGAGTGGTAGAGCATTTTGGGTAAGCAAAGTTCTTTTGGAGGCAGCGTACTATGAACATGGTTAAGGACTGTTCCGCAAGCTTTACATACATCATCTCAGCTTGGTAAACATCTCTGGTTTCCTCGTCCTTCCACCCAGAGATTTCTGAGCTTCAGGCTCACCCAAGATGCTCTGTTCTTAGGTCCTGGCCCAGATTCTGGTCCAGCCCACTAAGTCGAAAGCCTTGTATTTGAGTCCCCAGCAGAGCTCAGGCCCTTACCTACCAAGGAGTCTGTAGGTCCAAAGAGTTGCTCAGCCCAGAGGAGGCAAATAACTCAGAGTTGGAAGGGTGAGGAGGGGAACCACTTGTTCCCTTTTTCCAGAATCTATTGCATTTGTTTCTTACAACTCTAAAAAGTGGATATTCACCTCATCTTACAGATAAGGAAACAAGCTTCTTGAGGTTAAGTAACTTGCTCAAGGTGGCATAGTCAGGATTTACTGAGGACTGCCCTGAGCTTCTTGGCTGTGTCTGATCTCCGTAAAACAGCAGTATTGTAGACATAAATAGTTATCCGCTGTTTCACAGATGCAGACACTGGGGAAGAGGTGGCAAGTGGTGGAACTACCGTGTTTCCCCAAAAATAAGACCATGCCTTATATTAATTTTTGCTCTAACAATGTATATTGATTCACTTATTCACGTACAATAATCTACATTTATTCAAACAGTCATGTTCTGGCTGACGATCTTAACAGGGGCTTATGTTTGGGGTAGGGTTGATATTATTACGAGCGTTCTGAAAAATCATGCTAGGGTTTATTTTGGGGAAAACATGGTATGATTCAAATCCAGACCCATCAGACACCAAAGCCTGTGGGTTTTGTTGTTTTGTTTTTTCCCCGACTCTAAAACTCCATCACTCAATAAAGTTGATCTTGACACATCCATGGTCACCGATTATTAAGATATATCTATATCTGAGATGTTCATGTAAACAATAATAATAGCTTATTAGCCATCTATTGCATCAAAATTTATCTCATATATATATATGTATAAAATGAAATTATTTTATTTCTATTATCTTTTACCAGAACAAGTGACAGGAATGCCCTGATAATGAATAAGTAATAACAGCTAAAATTATTGAGGGCTTGCTCTCTGCACGCCAGGCACTGTGCTACACGTTTTACTTAATGGTACCTTGTGAAATCCTCATGTATCTCTTGTGATCCTCATGGATCTCATACAGAGCCCTCAAAATTCTGTGAACTAAATGCTGTTATCATCATCCTCATTGAACTTATGTAGAAGTTATACAGAACCCCCAGACCGTTAAAAGTTCCATAGGCTGCAATTTTCCCATCTGCAGAAGACCCACAGTAGTGTAATAGTAGTTCTAAGGTGACACCTAGTGGTCGCAGTGTATATTACACTAGGAATTCGGAATACAATTCATTCAACTTCTATTAAACTTTTTTCTTTTTCTTTCTGTCTTTTTTTTCTTTTTGCTTTGCTTTGACAATATAAACACTGTCAGTATAAAATATCTAAAGGAAACAATACTGGATTAGGAATTCTATCCCCTTTTCTACTCATTAACTTACGACTTTAGCCAAGTCATTAAACTTTTGGGGTTAAATAAAATAAAACATGTAGACTAGATAGATGTGTATATTTCTTCCAATTCCAAATCCTATATTATTTCATTAAACGTTGGACATTGTTCCAGATTTAAAAAAATCCTTGATTTCTTGATCATTTATGTCTGATTCATTGGTTGGGAACACGTGAGCACACACACAAATAATTGATGTGAATGATAGTTTCAATACTATTATATCTTTTTTATTATAAAAACATTAAAGTCCCAGACTCTAAATGATAGAATCAAACTTTTATTTTAAAAATCTGTTCTTTTTATTCCCAGCTGTCTTCATCACTCTTCTCTGAACAATTAATAAAATTCGGTTGATCTGACCAACGTGGTTATCTCAATGAACCTTATTGAACCTAATGTTTTTCATCAGGTAGATAGAACCTTGGAGGTAATCATTTAGCCCAATTATTTAACACACATCCCTTTCAGCCCTCCTATGTACTAGGCACTGAGCTTACAGTTCATGGCCTCACAGCCATGAACAAAACAGGTGTGCTCTGTGTGTTGCCGGGGCTGGTGGTAAAGTGTGTTCACCTACTGTGACCACACCTGCAGCAATCACACTTATACTCATGTGCTATATTGCAAACACAAGAAGGTGGATTTATTTAGTATTTGGAGGCAAATAATTATACAAGTTGCCTAAATAGTCCTGATTTGCCTAACACCAAATGTGTCTTTAACTGGGTGTTTCCATCTTTAAGTGAGTCTAATTATTTGGAGTATGTTAAAGTATTGTATTTCAAAATACAATTATATTAACCTTAATTAGTATTTCGATTTAACCAGAATTGTCCATCTGTTTTGCAAAAGTCACTTAAATGGCTAAGTGGTCCCTGAGTACCTAGTGTGTATGGTCCCTGAAAAAAAAATCTGCCAAATCTCAATGGCAATTTATGAAATTTCTTGTAACAGATAATTATTGCACTGGCTTTTGATGTTTATATTTTCTGACCAACCCAACTCGCTCACGATAATTATTTTTTAGAAAAAATGTTCCTGGATTTGCTTTATGGATGTCATATTTGAGATTTTTGCACTTTTTTTTTTTTTTTAAGCTGAGCCATCCTGCTACCTGTTGGCAACTCAGCGGCTGCTCGTCTCGGGCTGGACTCGAACTGCTGTTGCTCAGAGCTCAAACTCTTGAGCGAGCTCTTAACCAACTGAGCCACTCAGCTGGCCCAAGAGTTTTGCACTTTTATTCAAGTTTACAAGTGAGCTTGGCCTCTATCTTCCTTTGTCATACTGTCGTTTTCTGGTTTCAGTATCGTGGGTCATCTGTCCTCATTGTGGGATATAAAATTTTTCTATGGTCTGCAGTTTGTATGAAATTGGATTTAGCCATTGAATACTTTGTAGAATTTGTCTGTAAAACTATCTTGGGCTATGTGAAGGCAGCGGTGGGGTTTGGAGGCAAGAAATTAGCCCTAATTTAGGCTAAGTTTTCAAATTAATTGTCACAAAGTTGTCTCTCTTATGATTTTAAAAATCTCTACCTGTAGTTAAGTCCCCCTTTTCAGGACTAATATCTGTGAGAAGCATCAGTGCTTTCCCACTCTTCTGATTTCCGTGAGGAAAATTCTAAATGTTCTCTCTAAATACTCCTGTCTTCTTGCACCACCCCTTATCCAACCTCATGACACTCAAGCAAGTTACCCGATTGGTGGGTTTGGGGAGGGCGTGGCCATGTTACATTGGCTCCTCCCCTCTTCTCTCTGGGATCCAGCTGATTGTAGCAAGCGTGTGTTTTATCTTCTTGAGGCCATAAGTTTTACAGGGGCAGGCCACCGTATGGAGAAGTCCACAGTTTTTTCACCATGCTGCCTGTGGTTGGTTGTGAAGGCATTTTTTATTCTGGGGTTCAAGATTTGGAAGCCCCTCATCACTGTTCCAAATTAATCAGCATCAGTAATAAAGATGGTGCTTTGAGCTCCGTCTGCCTTTTAAAAAATTCTCACTTACTTTAGAACTCCAAAAGGAAAGTGGGTATCCCTTTCAGCCCCTTCAAATTCTAATAATGGCTGTTTACTTGTTTCTTATCCCTTTTTATCAATATTAATTAATTTTTCTATATTAGTATTCTTACCAAAGAAGCAGCTTTTGCTATGTCAGTTCTCTAGCTTTGTTTTCTAATTCATTAATTTCTCTTTTTATTCTGCCTTCTGATTTGAGTTTTTGCCATTTTGAGTTGGATGCTAAGTTTATTAATACTGAGTCTTTTTTTCTTATATAAGCACTTAATGCCATAAATTTGCTACCAAATATGGTTTTAGCTGCATCCTACAGTTTTGAAATAACCTGAATAGTACTTTCATTATCATTAATTTCTAAAATTTTTCTAAAGACTATTATAACTTCCTTTTTAGCCTTTTAGTTACTGAGAAGTGTTTTTTAATTTCAAGATGTATGGAAAAGTCATTATCTTTTTGTTGTTCGTTTTTAATTTAATCGCTCTATGGTCAGAAAACATGGTCTGTGTGACGCCGATTCTGTCATTTTTAGTAAGATGCTTTGCTACATGCTATATAATACATGAGCAGTTGTTGTTTTTTAATTTTGAATTCCATATGGACTTGAAAACCCTGTTTATTTCAAACTGTTTGTGCAGAGTTGTATATATGTCTACTTAAGTCAAGTTTCTTAAAAGTGTTTTGCAAATCTTACTAACTTGGGGTTTCCTGAATCTATCAGTTACTCAGAGGGGCATACTACATATCTCCCACTATGAAGTGACTTTATTTCTCTTTGGAATTATGTTACATTTTTGGCTTATTCATTTCTGGGCATAGTCTTGTAGCCCCTTCTTAGTGTTAGACATTGCGGGAATAAAACGATAAAATTATTTTTTTTTTCTCAGTAATTACCACTAGGGTAATACCTCTAGCCAAGTCCACAGCTTTTTCAGGCCATTCTCAGATATTAATGAAGTCTTTTCTAGTTCTTACAAAGGCTTGGACAAGTTGCATATTACAGCTATCAGCCTGTCATGTAAATTGAAACTTCCCTCCTCCCAGCTCAGCCTGACTCAGGCCCGGATGGGTGCAATAAGGGAGGGAAGCTAACACACACTCAGTTGTTTTCTCCTCCTTCCTCTACCTTCGTCAGCCCACTTCTGTCTTGCTCTTCTCTATTCCTTGCCCAGTCACACCTGCCTTCTCTTTATCATCATCATCTTGTTCTTTTCAATTTATTTATTTTTCATCATTTTAAGCAAGTTTACTTTATAATTCCTGCTCATTTATTTTCTAAAGGCAATGCAAGTCTGATTTCACTCCTGGTGAACTGTTCTCTCATAAATTTTGTGATTTTGGTTTGTGAATTTATCTTCAGTAGGTTTTTTTTTTTATT